TTTCCTGAACTTTATCTTGTAGCAAGTGTATTTTTTGTGTTAGGGCCCTATGATCCGCCATGTAACTTTCTTCCAGTTTAGAGGCGTTCGCCATAATTTCAATATGCTGTTTCTTTATCATAATCCATTGATCTAGCAGCTCTTCTAATAATATTGCGTATCTTGAGACTGATTTAGTTTCTTTCAATTCCTCTTCGATTGATTTTGCGGCGTATAATATTTCTTGGATCATTATCTCTTTTTTGTTCATACGCCCGATTTGTTCGTTTTCGCCTTCAGCTTTTGCTTTTTCGTCCGCTTTTTGGCAGTTCTTCAAATAGGCTTTGGCTTCGTAGTAGATGCTGCTAATTTGTTCACTATATTTTGTAGTGAAGTATGTGTGCTGGTGTATGCCCAATGCTACCATTTCTTCGTGGTTTTTTTCTACGTTTTCCCATGCTTGGTCTTATGCGGCTTTTCGTGTTTTTACATATTCTCCAGTTTTTCTCGTTACCGGGTCTTTTTTGCTATTGATTAAGATCCGGTTGATTTTGTTGCCGAGTCCTTCTTGTTGTTTGGCTAGCTCGTTTGTTTCATCCATTGTTTTTGCTTCTATGGCTCAATGGCGTCTGGTTTATGCGGCTTCTACGGCACTGCTGTGTTAACAAGGCTTTTTTTTTCTTTTTCTTCTCTGGCCGGCGTGAGTGGTTCGACTAGAGTGGCTTTTTTCTTCTCTGCTTGGTGTGTAAGACTCAAGTAGAGTGATGGTTTTCTTCCTTCTGGCTTGTGGCTCAGTGGAGTATTTTTCTTCTCTGCTCGGCGTGTGTGGCTCAAGTAGAGTGGCTTTCTTCTTCTGCTAGTTTTTTGCTCGAAAAACCATGAAAAGACGTAGGGGACTCCCCTAACTTCTTTGTCTGTTCGCTACTACTCTATAGCAGCCTCACTATAGATTTCAGGGAAAATGGCTTAACCGTAGTAGTTTGAGTAAGACAACGATGATACTTGAATACTGATTTTATTTGGTAAAAATATCACAATTTATATTAATCTAAGTCAAAATAATTTTGATAATAATTTGTCATAATTTTAATTCTCTAACCTTGTTACGACATGAACCTATTATGTTCCGGAATAGTACGAGGTCGACACTTTTGGTGACCTGACACACTTGACCGTGAATATTTTATTATATTATTTCTATTGAACAATTGTTTTTAAATAAGGAAATTCCAGGCAGTTAATTAATCTATTTTTCTTATGTGCATCAAATGGCCAAAATTATCAGAAATGCTTTTGGGCACATGGCAACTAGACAGTTATCTTTGGTTGGTTTTTATTTAGTACTCAAGTCAATTCATGCTTCCAGGAACTCTCATTGTATTTCAATGTTTTAATTTGTTTTAACTATTTAGTCGTTTTATGTAATTAAATAATTAATGATAATGTAAATTAATTTGAAGATTGTTTTCTTTCATTCAACGTTCATTGTAGACTCTTAAACTTTACGAATCTCTTAAATTTTATCCAATAATTTTTCTCTTTAGGTTATATTAAATCATTTAGCACATTAAATTTTGATAACCTAAATTCTTTAATTTCATTAAATCAGCTATCGAATTTTATGACTTTTATTTGGTTTTATGCACTACAGCTTTTCTTTAACTCACTTATTCAGCAAATTTTATTCGTGAATTTGCAGTCCTAAGGTCTCTAGGATCCAGATAAGAACCTGGAGTATCTGACAATTCTTTTGTTTTCATCGAAATTCAATTTCAAATTAACCCAATCTAGTCAATTTCCATCGAAATTAAATTTCAAATTAACACAATCATTTGCAACGCACTTTGACACCTGAACTTACAATCCTTGTTTTCTAAAACATTTTTATTATTCTTTTTTTTCTGCGTACAGCAATTTCCTTCATATTATAAGAACAAGACCACTGTGATGGCCATGCTCTCATCTTCTCTTTGGAAACCCTAGTGATGAGAATGGCCCCAAGCTTCCTGATTTCATAGCGACCATTTGGTGAACATTTCATTATTTAAGGAAAGAAACAAAGTGTATTTTAAGCAAATTTTGTTTATTGAAAATCAGCTTAGTAAAGCGTCTTCGGCCTTCGCCATCATCAGTACTACTTGTCAGGTTCCGACACAGAAGTTAAAATTGTAAAAGGACAGCGACGACGAGAATAAAAAGCATTACGACACGACGAGAATTACAGATCTGTGCACAAAAAAGGTCACAAACAATATAATACATTCTCTTAAGGACAATATAATAACAATTGGATAAAATCATTTTATTACAATAATAACATTTTGCTTGTGAATCTGTTGTACCATCAATGTGAGTTTTTCAGTCTTGGCGATTGTGATGAACAAAGCTAGGCAATTTAATTTGAAGAGAGAGAGTTTTTTTAGCGTTGGTGGTCGTCAATAACTCTATTCAACTACTATTTTTGCAATATAACTTTGTTGGGGTCCTTTAAAAATTACGGTCTGCTTTCAATTTTGAATCCTTTCAAGAGCTTTCACATTCCATGGAGTTTAGAACACTAATGACGAATACAAATGCAGGAATTAAATGAATATTCTTTAGTTATCAAAAAAGTGGAGGGATATGGAAAGAGGTGCCTCTTCAGAGTAGGAGCTTTTTGAAAATGGATTATTGGGGTGTTTCACGGAAAGGGGCTTACAGTGGAGGTGAATAGTGGTATGATGGCTGTGCTGGAGGAGGGTTTTTACGTAGTAGAGGTGGGTATTGGTCTGATAGCTGTTAAAACATAACGGGGGCACTTGAGCCTGGGAACTTTTTCGATACCCTGGGAAAATCTCTAGATCGGCAGCGCCTTTGATCTGAAATTTTGGGGATTTGACCCGGGCCAATCCCAAAATTGACGAATACAAATGGAAGAATGGGTTAAATATTTTTCAGTTGTCAGGGTAGGAGCTCTTCAGGGTAGGAGCTTTTTGAAAATAGATTTAGGGAGGGCTTCACGGAAGGGGGTTTACAGTTGAGGTGGGTACTGGTATGATGGCTGTGCTGGAGGGGGGTTTTTACGTAGTAGAGGTGGATATTGGTCTGATAGCTCTACTCTTTATTTATACTGACAGGCATTGATAAATGTATATTCTAACTTAACAATTTTGAGACTGGCTCTATGGCTGAACTCTGAATAAAAAATACCCTATTGTTTTTTTATTGCTTTTATATCTTCGGATACCTACTCTCTAGTTATGTTGTTACCTGCTGGTATATATTTTAGCCTAATAAATTGTTTAGTTATTCCATCTGAAGAAGGCACCGTGTGCTGAAACATGGTACGGCATCATTTAAACAAAATTGTGGAAATCCAGAAACTTTTTTCCTTCCATTCTAGAATAAAATGGACTTCAGTAAATTTTAAGTCAGCTTTTTATGAAGGTTGGATTCAGGTCAAAAAATAACCGGCGTCGGAGACGAAATTATGTAGCTACTCACTGACGTTTTCGTTTATACTTAGTACCAATTTTTTATAAGAGTCAGTTTATGGTTGTTTTACTGCGAAACAAATTTCTACTAAAAAATCAATTGCATTACACCTACCAACAAGGGATGACTCCTATCCCTCAGTACTACGTGAGTGGAAATGAAGATCTCCAAGGAACCGAAGAAGACATGCCCTGCTACATCAGATTATTAAACTCTGATAAAAGCGCTTCAATATGCAAACAAATAGAGGTAAAGATTACACAGCCTCTTACGAACCGATTCTTCTTCTTCTTCTTCTTCTTCTTCTTCTTCTTCTTCTAGATTATTTTCGTTTACTGCTGGACATAGACCTCTTCCATCATCTTCCATCGGTTCCTGTCTTGGGCCGCCAGGATCCAGTTTTTTCCAGCAATCCTTTGAATGTCATCAAGGCCACCTTATTTGCGGTCTTCCAATGTTTCTTTTTGAATCTCGTGGCCTCCATTCCATGAGTATTTTGGTCCATTTGTTATTATCTCTGGCCACATGACCTGCCCAGCGCCACTTCAACCTTGTCACCTTAATAATATTAATTAAAATCCGTGCACGCTTATACCATGGTATACCGTGGCGGGTTTGTACAAAAATGTCACCTTAAATATAGTACATGAAAAATCATTGGTACTGTACACCCATTGTAATAATTAAGGCAGTAAAAAAACCTTGGAAATATAACAAGTAAAATATAAGAAATGATATTAATAATAATTAAGAAAATAATTAAAGAAACTTTAATAATGAGTTTAACGGTTACATCACCCCCTTGTGGTCCTGTCGCAGTCTAAGCATCCATTTTAAATTTCCATCACTCTCATGACAGCCTCACAGCCCTGATAATAGACCCCTTCAACTTCTATTGACTTCCTTTGTTGAAAGTGATAAATTACGGTTTCAAGTTCAGTAATTTGGGTACTTTGACACCTCAACTTCGAGACTAGCAAACCGTCAAAGAGGAAAACCCAATGGTGCAGGTAAAATCCAGACTAAAACCCTTGCTAAAAATCCTAAAAACCCTGAAAGAGCACAAATTCTTAGAACTCTTTCACACTTATAAAATGGAAAATCCCAACCCTTAAATAGTACATAAATGATTGAAATTAAATAATTAAAATAGCAAAATCCCCTGAAACCTGTTTTGTCTTTACAAAAACCCCTTAATTAATAAGCCCATTAATGCCCCTTTTGGAAAACGATTAACGAGTTCTTTTTTACTAAACATGGCCTCGTGGAGGTCAAATTCCCTTTTTTATTGAATCCCAAATATTTACAAAAATACAGATAAGCTAATCTAAATATTGATAACGAATAAAACGGGATTTTACAAGATGGCGCGTGAGTAGTACACACGAGTTTTTCCTGCTCTACGTAATTTTATTTGTTTCTCATAGATTATCAAGTGTTTAATTTCTCCAAGTATATTAAAAGTTACTCTAGTTGTTCCTGTGCTGTTTGGTGATATAAAAATCTTTGTAATCGGTCAGTGCTTCGAAATAAATAGTATTTATAAGCTATAACCATGGTATTTACTAAAAGTGACATGGAAGCCATCAAAACGTTGATTAAGTCAACTATTAGTGACCAATTACAGGATATCGCTGATAGAGTAGAACAAATAATCAGTGATACAATGGAGAAGAAGTTTAAGGAACAGAGTGATGCAATAAAGAAATTAAACAGCGAAATTATTAGCCTTAAAAAGGAAAACATAGGCCTGAAATCTGCATTGGATGCGCACGAGCAAGCCACCCGTAATTCGAATATCAGAATTTTTGGCATTCCACAAACCGACGGCGAGAACGTTCGCAGGCAAGCAATTGACTTAATTACCAATAAACTTAAGGTAAAGATAAATAATGCCGATATTAACTGGTGTCACAGAGTCAGAGCAAAAAATCCAGTCGAAGGTAAACCTCCCGCAATTCTCGTATCTTTTACCAGTGATGTGCTACGTACCGACATTCTCAAAAATAAAAAAAAACTTAAAGAATTCGGGTATTCAGATTAAGGAGGACCTTACAAAGTTTCGTTTAATGTTGCTCAATAGTGCTATTAGTAAACTCTCTCATCAAAATGTGGGGTGCCAAAATGGAAACATTTATATAAAATATCTAAATAATGTTCATAGGATTAACAATGCGGAGGACATTCACAACCTTTTGATGTGACATTTCATAGGTAAACTCTATAATTAGGACTAAAATTTTTTTTTTGGGGGAATGTTATCTTTATTTGTTTATATACTTTTTGTCTATGCAGAGATTAATATTTTACTTTAAATCTATTTGCAGTGGGAATCTCTCGGTTTTTTTGTGTATTGTAAGCTTTTACCTACTTCTCTTTTTTTGTTACTATTGCGTTAGTTTATTATTATTTTTTTTTTATTATTGTTTTCTCTCTTTATTGGGTTGGTTGAGGATATAATTGGCATCAGCGTGCTTACCGTAGTAGGCCCGTTTCAGCTCTTTGCTATATTATATTTTCCGATATTTATATTTATTACCTATCAGTTTTATTTTATTTAAATCTTAGACTCTACTCATAAGCAATCTGGTATGCCATTATCAGCATGACACTGTTTTTATTTCCTGCTCAGTGACTATTTAATCTCAATGAGGATAGCTCATCTTAATATTAGATCGGTATTTACTGGATTTAATGATTTTTCTTTAATTGTTCTTGATCACGATTTTGACATTATACTATTGACGGAAACCTGGCTCTCACCCAATACGGTTGATGATGCGATTGCGCTGCCAGGCTATACTCTTTTCAGAAAGGATAGAGCTGGTAGAGGAGGAGGTGTATGTGCGTATGTTAGGGATCCTCTTAGTGCACAAATATATGATCCTGATATATCTATTTCCGACAGCCTTGAGTTTCTTTTTCTGAAAGTTAAGCTACCAAATAAAAAAAATCTTATCAGTGTCATATACAGGGTGATTGATGGTCGATGATAGGTTAGACGTTTATGGAAAACGGAATGTTGGATATTTTTGAAAATTTGCATGCCTAAGTAATTGCTCCTGATCTATATTTCTAAAATAATTTCAACGATGCGCCGTTGCCGCTTATACCAAAAAGTAATATAAACTTCGAAATTTTAAATGAGACACCCTGTATATTATTGCATTTTTCACTCCGCTATTACTTTCTGATCATTTTTGTATAATACTGTCCTATACCTATATCTAGTGATTTTCGACTTATTAATTAATTTCTTTATTTTTTCTTCAAAACATTGCTCTAGGTAAATTTGTATACTACGTCCCTGAGATTCGTAGAAAGTTTAAATTTTGGAGATAACTTAGGGAGGTCCTGCATATCACTTTTGAGCAAGAAAATTTTTTCTACATTATACAGGGTGGGTCAAAATTAGTAATTGTGCTGCCAGGTACAAAAAAGATGAAAAGTGCATTTTTTTAAATAGAACACCCTGTATATTATGAAATATTATGAAAGGCAATTAAAATCCCTTACAAATGATGTATCATGTTCCTATACCTAAATAGTAAGGTTTCGGAAATACATGCAAGTTTCTGTAAGAATTGGATTATTTAGAAATTATGTTTTATTAAATAGCAGTTAAATGAACTTTTTTCCACGAATGTGACGTGTGACAATCACATGAGTAAAAAAAGGTACTGTACACACTCATTGCATGCAACATTTTTTCTATTATCGATAAAATTGTATAAAGTTATTTTTTGTGCAACCGTCCGCAAAATTCAATTTCGCGGCCGCCACACTTGACGTGCAAAATGTGCCAAATCCTTGTCAAATTCATACAGTTTTTCTGTAACTTTACATAATTTTTATAGTTGCACAAAAAATAGTGTGTATACCATGACCGAGAAACTTTTCAGCGTACTTGAGAGTATCTTGCCTCAGCCGCTTGCCTCGACCGCAAACGGTCTCGGCGATAACTTTTTTCTACGAACGCTAAAAAGACATTTCGCGGCCTTGGTATACAAATGACTATTGTGTCCGAACAAATTTTCTTTAATTTATTGGTCGTAAATCAGGGTACATTTCGTTGAATTTTTTGCATATTCTTGCTCTTGCTACAATTTGACTGCAGATTTCTTCTTTTTGACGTTTTGTAAAGTTTTGCCGTGCCAAAAAAAACAAATAACAGCTGATGGCAGGCTATTTTTTTAATTAAAAATTATTTTTGACACCAAAATTATCACTTCTGATTGGTCAAAATTACCAGGAGGGAAATAGTCATGGTAAAATGTATGGACAACTTCCATAGATGCCTATAATACCGAAGACTTTTATGACGTCATTGGATTGAACTGTCAAAAACACCGTGAGTAGGAAAGAGACAAAAACAAAACAATGACAATATTTTCGCATATCACATATTGTAAAAAGTGGACCATTTTATGCATTTGTTTTAAATCCTAGATAATAACCATGGTTCCAATCAATGAACTGTTTCAATATTTGCAATCACCTGCCATTTTAGAAAATCATGTGGTTTGTATCGTTTGAATTACCTAATATGTTTCATCGTGACATAGCTATTAAATGACGATTCGGGTTGGTAGAATGAGTGTAAAGAAAATGTATTTCTATCTGTTTTTACAACAGGCTGAGAGAAAGAGATGAAAATATACTCAGTGTGAATTAAATCTACTAATTGAAAACGCCATTAGAAAAATATCCAGAAATAATCCAATCCAAGGAAAAAAAGATCCCAAACCTCCAGTTGGAACAAAATAGGTTGTGACAGTATTTTCTTTACTACCTTAAGTACTCACTTTATGCAATATTGCGAAGACGTTAAATTTCACTTCACACACTAGTGCATAAAGTAATGTCAATGACAGATGTAGACACTGTCAATTTACTATTTTTCAGAAACTTGCCTGTATTTCCGAAACCTTACTATTTAGGTATAGGAACATGATACATCATTTGTAAGGGATTTTAATTGCCTTTCATAATATTTCATAATATACAGGGTGTTCTATTTAAAAAAGTGCACTTTTCATCTTTTTTGTACCTGGCAGCACAATTACTAATTTTGACCCACCCTGTATAATGTAGAACAAATTTTCTTGCTCAAAAGTAATATGCAGGACCTCCCTAAGTTATCTCCAAAATTTGAACTATCTACAGAATCTCTAATACAAATTTACCTAGAGCAATGTTTTGAAGAAAAAATAAAGAAATCAATTAATAAGTCGAAAATCACTAGAGATAGGTATAGGACAGTATTATACAAAAATGATCAGAAAGTGATAGCGGAGCGAAAAATGCAATAATATACAGGGTGTCTCATTTAAAATTTCAAAGTTCATATTACTTTTTGGTATAAGCGGCAACGTCGCATCGTTGAAATTATTTTAAAAAGATAGATCAGGAGCAATTACTTGGGCATGCAAATTTTCAAAAATATTCAACATTCCGTTTTCCATAAACGTCTAACGTACCATCGACCATCAATCACCCTGTATAGGCCCCCAAATACGAATATAAATAATTTTATTAGTGATATTGATAATATCTTATCAATAATTACCCCGAGTTTTGATGATATTATTATTTTGGGCGATTTCAATATTAATTTTTTCAATTTACAAAGTCCAGTACTGCACTGTGTTGAATCATATGGACTGTCTCAAATTCTTAATGATCCAACAAGGGTGACTTTGCACTCCAGTACCTTGTTCGACCCGATCTTGGTTTCTAACCACAATTCAGTGATATCATGTGGTACAGTGTCATGTGATAATATCTCTGACCATCATCTTGTTTTTGTAACTCTTAAAACAACGTTTACTAAGCTTAAACCGAAGGAAGTCAAACACAGATGTTTTACAAATTTTAATTCAGCTACCTTTCATATTGATTTGATTAATGCAGATTTTAATAAAATTTTTCATGAAAAAAAGTATCGACCGTAAGATTGGTATTTTTAATGAGCTAATTGTGAGTCTTTTTAACAAGCATGCCCCTTTAAAAGTTTCAAGAGTGTTAAAGCCCAAGGCTGAGTGGATGAATGACACTATAAAACGATTTCAAAAGCTGCGTGCTAATGCATTATCTACATTCAAGAGAACTAGATCTGTCAATGATTGGAATCACTACAAGCAACTGCGCAATCATACTCTGTCTCTGGTTAGGCAAGCTAAAAGGGACTATCTCCAAAATGTCTGTGGGGAAAAAAACCCCTCTAAAACGTGGAAAGCTCTGGCTTCTCTTAATGTACGCTCTAATAATAGGAGAACTCTTCCCCCAGAACTGTCCAACCCTGATGAAATAAATAAATATTTTGGTGATTTTATTCAAAAAGTATCAAATAACTGTGACAATAAAATTCAATATTATGATAATTTTTCTTTTCTTAGCAACACGTTCTCATTCTGTCTTACCACAACTGAAGAAGTGCATAAAGTCTTACATGGAATCAAAACTAATGCTTATGGTTCTGACAATATATCTTCATATATGCTTAAACAGTGCAGTCCCGTTATAGATGTTTACATCATGCATATTATAAACTGCTGTATACTTGATAATTATTTTCCAAGTTGTTGGAAGCTGTCAATTGGCAAACCACTTGCAAAGAATAGTAATCCTCAAAATTTTGGGGTGTTTGTTTCCTATTTCAGATTTTTAGTTGGGCATGGAAATTTTAATAAACACATGTATAAGCTTAAGTTATGCGAGAACACGCGATGCTTTTGTGATAACCAATCTGAAGATGATTTGAATCATAGATTATTTAGTTGTAGACACAATGAATTGGCAACTTCATTCTTAAGAAGAGAATTGGAAAAACTCCATCTCATACCTATGAACCACAAGGGTTTAATTAAGCTTATTTTATCAGATGATAACTTGGAAAATATATTTATTAATTACTTAAAATTATGTAAAGTCCTTATTTGAA